CCCCACCCAGCAGTTTACCAGCTTTGGAAAGATGGAAGGCTGAGTTAACCTTGATCAGGCTACTTAAGCCCATCAGGATTAAACTCAGGCCGTGAGCAGAGTCTTGGCTGCAGTACTGCAGTTTGACCACTGCACCACAGAGCTCCTACTATTTCTGAATAGTAATTAGTTATGTGCTGTCAAGTTGGATCTGACGTACAGTATAGTGACCCTAACAGGACTTTCAAGGTAAGGTATTTAAGAAATGATTTTACCAGTTCCACACACCCTCTGTGAGTTTCCATGGCTGAGGGGATTTGAACTCTGGTCTCCAGAATCTTACTCCATTACTCTATCCACTTTACTCTTCTATTCGTAAATAGGACTACCCATATTGTGTATTCACCAAAAGCAGCAGAGTCCTAGTCCATCACTCTATCCACTTTACTATTCTATTCCTAAATAAGACTGTTCATATTGTGTATTCACCAGAAGCAAGGATGAGAAAACTGGTCAGATTTTCTTTTATCCCACATTCTCTCCTTTTTTTAAAATACCTGTCCATTTAAAAAATGCAGACATTTGTAAATTACAGTATTTTTTTCAAATACCAAAAATAATCCTCCACTTTTTTTGATATACTGTATATAAATAATATATCAGATATGAACAGATGAATCTGTGGCCCCCATCAAATGTGCAGGACCCCCCCGGGGGGCATTTGACCCCCATTGAGAATGGCTGCGCTAGAGCGTTAGCACATCCCTGTCCTGATACAGATGATTGGTCTGCAAACTAGGGAAAGGGGGTTGTGCTTCTCCAAGAGGGCATGGACAAATGTCAAGGATGGACACAAGGCTGTGAGATTTTCATTTAAAAACCCAGGAGTTTCTAGAGATCATGACTAGAATTTAGCATTTCTCAAGAAAATGAATATTTGTGTTTCCTTTCTGTTTCAAATTCGTTTCTCGTTATGCCTTCCTGTTTATTTTTAATTTTAAATTATCGGTATTTGTAGCAGTTGTTGTTAAAAGGAAGTTTGATGCTGTTAAAAGAGAAGTGAGAACATTTCTTTGAAAAATTAAATAGTGCGGTACTCAAGCGTTTGGAAACCACTGAGGTAGATGGGCATGTTACATTCATTGCTGGGGCAACCAGGTAGCGAGTTTTTTAGATGAAGAGAAAGGAGAAAAAAATATCCACGTGTGGTGGGTAAGAAAGAAAGAAAGAAAGAAAGAAAGAAAGAAAGAAAGAAAGAAAGAAAGAAAGAAAGAAAGGTCTACTCAGGTATAAGGCTTTACTAAAGCCAATTAATTTAGGGGAAGCACTTTCTGTGCATAGTCATTGCAGAGATACTGAGTTGATTTTAGAGGCATACAATAAGCAGTTACGAGCTGCCGTAGAAGAAAACAGATTGCGGTGGTAATTAAATGGAGACGAAGTAGCCCGAACGGCAGGTCTTCCTTGCAGAGCGAGGTAAGAATGGCTGAATTTCAAAGGCTGGCTTTTCCTCAGTGAGCTTTTATAGGAGGTACATTTGTACAGATTTCTAATAACTGCACGCTATGAGCAGTCAACTGAGAATCTTTTACGGATGCCGGCGAAGGCCCTGAAAATCGTTAGAGTGGCTACTTTCCAAGGGCCAAACATGCCTGTAAATGAGGTGGGCTTCTGGCTGTCCAGTCCTGCGCTGAAAGCATCTTGTCGTGTGTATGGTACACCACCACACCATCAAATTGAGGGAGGCCAAGGCGATTAATGAAACAAACCAATTCGAGGTATCAAGGGCCCTGTATGAAAGGAAAGGGTTGCCAGGAAATTTGTTTTTGTAAGTGACAGGTTTTCACAGGAAGTTCAAAAGCTCGGGAACGGCCACGAAATCCAGACAAATGTTTTTTGCCCTGCTCTAAGCAGGGCCAACAGCATAGCTAGTAAAATCTCCGTGTCATAACAAACCATAAACATTGGTCATGGGAAGACTTAGTTTGTGTTTTAGTGGGCAGGAAGATGGAATGGCAGGATGTTTGCTTGTTTTTCTTCATTCTGATATAATTCACTGGTTGGGACAGAAACGTTCCCCAAGTGGGAAAAACAAGTGGTTGTGGGTTTTCTGGGCTGTTTGGCCATGTTCTTAAGGTTTTTCTTCCTAAAATTTCACCAGTCTCGTTGGCCAGCATCTTCAGAGGACTGGAGTCAGAACTCTGTCTGCGCTCTGGGCTTCGAGAATACACAAAACAGATTTGTTGGAACCATCTTTCTTCCTCCTGGTTTTTGTCTGTTTTTGTTATTTATACAAATTCCCATTTCTAAGCTGACACTGTCTGTCACATATGGCTCCATCCGCAGTTGGAAACTGTGTTCTCTGTCCCACCAACCACAGCATGTACACGCTACCATGGTCAACAGCATGATGCATGGCCGGTAGTGGAAAGATGAGGATTTTGCTCTGTTCCAGAGTTTTCAATTTTTCATTAAATGCCTATAGCTGTGCAATAGAAGTGCAGGGGTATACAGAGCAGAATAGCTTCAAGTTCTCCAGAATAGAACACCCCTTTTCTCAGAAACTGGCACTTTCAGTCTCAATATTTACTCTGAGAAATTAGTAGTAGAAAGAATAAAAGTTTCATTACTTACAATTGAACAGCAAACTGACAAACACGGCTGCTTTCAACAAGAAACTTCAGCAGACTACAGAGGGGGGCAAAAGAGATGACTAGAAAAATCTTCAGGCAATGTGTGAGATGGTAAAAACTTCACCAGGTTCATTCTAGGGGCTAACCATGTTATAAAATGGCTGCCTCAGAGATCTAGTTCACTACATATTCTGAAGCAAATTATGATTCTCATAGACTGGAAGATAATGTCCTAGAGCATGAGAGTTTACATTTTCCGAGACTCCTCCATCTTTTACATCCTTTTATTGTGATTTATTTTACAATTGATTATTTTGCTTGGTTTTCCCCCCCCTCTTAGTATGTAGAAAAGCAGCATGGTATACTTAAAATAATTTTGCCTCAAGTGAAATCAGACAATAGGTTCTAGGATCTAGACAGTCTTCTAAAAATTTGGCCTATTTCATTGGCATTCTTAATTGCTTTCTTGAATCTCCTTAGATATTTTTCTGAAATACGTTCCTCAAAGAAAACACACACACCCCATTCACATTAAATTTTGCTTTTTAGACCAAATGTTGACTCTAGAACGTAGACCAGGACCCAACAGGAGATATCTGGCTAATTTACTGTGGATTGACATAGTTTTCTGATTCTTAATTGTTTAATAGTTCCAACAGAAAACGGATATCCTGCCTTGGGTCTTCTTTAAGGAGAAAGGTGGAACAGAAATATTTTAAATAAATAAATAACCAAAAAAATTTCCATCCAAAAGAGGCGTCTGAAATAGAGAAAGCTTGGCAAAATCAGGATTGAACTTTTGTATGGAAGGATTGTAAACTCCAACAGGTTTTTCCCCCCTGATTTTGAACATGAATTCATAGATTCTGGGCTGAGAGAGACATTGTACCTTACTTGTTTATGAGCGCAATACTAGAAGCTTCTCTTGCCTCCTGGAATTTGCACGTTCGCTTGATTTGGTTTATGACTGATATTTAGGACTTAAGTGTGGGATACTTTGGACTTTTTCAAGGCAAACTGCTGCTGGAATCATGTCTTCCCAAACAATTTTCAGCTTCCTGGCTAGTTATAACATGTTTTTGTGAGGGAAGTTTACTTCATATTAATTATAAATAGACTTGTGTATGGGTCCCCTGATTAGATTCAGTGGCAAAATCCAGGGGTTTGGACTATGTTCTGAATTGGTCTGGAGTGTGTTATACTGTATCCTATTTGATTTGATTTGTGCCTCAGATCTGAATTGATCTGTGAATTTGCAGTCATTCCATTGACTTGTACTGGAACACCCAAACAAGAGTTCTAAGTTATTTTGTTTTGTCACTGATGGGCATGTAATTTGGAGATAGGGTTGTCAAATTTGCCAAATTTCAGGCAGCTAGTTTCCCGTATTTATGACCTATTTGCCAAAACAAGAGCACCCAGATCGCTTCCTGACCTGGTGTGCATCCTTGTGGAGGCACTTTGACTTGGCCCTTTCTGGGTCCATGATGGTATTTGTGCATTTCCAGTTTTGTATCAAAAAAGAAAATTCACACAAATAAACCAACACAAGCAGCAGGGCCAAGTCATCGGCTGTATGGAGCAGGCAGGGCAGAAGGATTCCTCCTCAGGACAATGGCAATTGCAGAGCTGGGTGATCTGTTTTACTTTTATTTCTTCCCGTCCTTTTTCCCCCCTGCCAGGAGAAAACCCTAAGTTGCTTCCTAAATGAGTCACTGGCAAGGATAGAAGAGAGGGGAACTTTACGAAAGTGACAGGCATTCTCCTTTTTGAGTTCTCCCTCCTATGCAGGGAGCTTGCTATTTTCTACATTTTTCATCCTTTCTCTTTCCTCCTGCCTTTCCCCTTCCCTGTATCAGAAATTAATGGCGCTGTAGCGACAGTATAGACTTTAGTGATTTAATCAATGGCTTTGCAGCAGAAAGGGCAAGAAGAGTACCTTGTGAGCTAAAGGGCACTGTGACCTTAACTGTTACTGCCATCTTCCTTAGTTCTTCTTTTCCTTTCCCCACTTCCAGTCAAAATGCATATATACCTGATTTCACATGGGGAAAAAAATCCAGAGATGGGGGAGGATGCTTACCTTGCTCGTTTCTCTTTGCTCTGCCCTGTGGTCACCCCAGAAATGCACAAATACCCTTTATTTTGTTTGTTATTTACCTATTTATCAAAAGTCACCTGCCTCGGAAGTTGGGGTTTGTCTGAATCCAGTGCCCAGCCCTAATATTAAGTCTTTTGTACCCGTTTGGTAGCTTTTGGAGTTCCAGCAAAAAGCCAAGTGAATGCAACAAGCTTGAAAGCTGCCTGTGCTTGCTCTGGACAAGGAAGGCGTTAGAAATGATTGCTTGTTTAAATAAAATACTGATACCAATCTTCTTTCTCTTAAAGGTTGTGAAGACTATGATTACACCTTCTCAGATGAACGGACAAGATGAAGCCAGCCACACCGTAGAAAATGTTTGGAAACACCCACCCACCCTTCAGCTTCTCGGCTTCGATTCCTCCAAAAGACTCGATCCCTGCATTTTAGCCACACTTTCCCCTTCTTGTCCCACCATGGTTCCTGTACTGGCTTAAAATATTTCCTAAAATGCTCCTTCTGCTTCTTATTTTGTTATTGAAGGAAGATGTCTGGGGGAACTTTGGTCTTCTGGTTTCTGCACAGTCCAGTGAACGGCGGGTGGTGGCCTACATGCCCGGAGACATCGTCATTGGGGCTTTATTCTCTGTCCATCACCAGCCCTCTGTCGACAAGGTCCACGAGAGGAAATGTGGAGAGGTGAGAGAGCAATATGGGATCCAGCGAGTGGAAGCCATGCTCCACACTTTAGACAGGATTAATCAAAACCAGACAATCTTGCCAAACATCACGTTGGGTTGCGAAATCAGGGACTCCTGCTGGCATTCGGCTGTAGCTCTGGAGCAGAGCATCGAGTTCATCCGGGATTCCCTCATCTCGGCAGAAGAGGAGCAGGGGTTGATGAAGTGCGTGGATGGATCGTCGTCTTCTTTCCACTCCAAGAAGCCCATCGTCGGTGTCATTGGACCGGGCTCCAGTTCTGTGGCCATCCAGGTCCAAAACTTGTTGCAGCTTTTCAACATACCTCAGATTGCTTACTCTGCCACAAGCATGGACTTAAGTGACAAGACGTTGTTCAAGTACTTCATGAGAGTGGTGCCCTCAGATGCCCAACAAGCTCGAGCCATGGTGGACATCGTCAAGAGATACAACTGGACGTACGTGTCTGCTGTGCATACTGAAGGTAAGGAGACTGTGTCTTTTTCCCCCCCAGGTGTGACATTCTGATGTGATAAGGTGATGCTTCAGATTATAGTGTTTATATATAAAATATATGCTAAGCTTTGAGTTGTAGCATTAATTGAATGTTCCTTCTATGTGCTACGATGTTCATTGTTATGATTATTGTTGCTGCACATACATACATATAGAAACACAACACTGTGGTGAGCACAATGTGCTAGACTACATACTATTTTCATGGATTGAATTGGAATATAAAAGGAGTTTCACCATTTTATCTGATACTCATAATGTTCTGTACAGTGTGTGGAAAGGGGAAATAAAAAAAAAGGTTTTATGGTTACAATCTCCCTCTTTGCTTCTCTCTGTTTTTTGATGCTGCTTTTCATGAAATATATACCGTATATGAGAGACCACACGCCCTGTTAAGTATATGTTGATCTCAAATTGTACTGAAAGTACACCTTCTAAGCTCTTATGAATACATTTCTTTTTACAGTGATGATTTCTGTCAGCACGATCTCTTCTGCTCCTAATTATTTTACAGAACCTCATATTGTAATACTGTATATGGATTTTACTTGAACCATTATTGTTTATTTATTCCAATATTTTCAGAAGGATCACCAGTGGATCATAATTAAATCCATTATCCCCATTTTTCATGTCCATGTATAATAACTAAAATTTATTTTACTTTAAGCTGGGACAAGCATAATTTTATTCCCTCTTCTCATTTCCCCTTGGGGGTTAGTTGTTCAATATCTTTCCTCCAAGTAGCGATAAGATGAGTCCTAGAATCACAGAATCATGAAGTTGGAAGGGACCTATAAGACCATCTAGTCCAATCCTCTGATCAATGCAGGAATACAAACCAATATCGGCCAGGTGGCTGTCTAGCTTTCTCTTGAAGGCCTCCAGCGCTGGCGTGCTTATCTTGCTGTGTTCCTCTGATTAAAGAGCTTACAGATAATAACTGGGCATAGGATGGGATGAAACAGATCAGAGTGGTGATGCCCTGCCACTCTGGGCATCATTCCTGTTAATTTCCTAAAATTACACAGAGAATCTCCATGTCCCTCTTAATGGCCTCCCAGAATATCAGTGAATGCCATTTCTCCTTATGATTTTGTGCCTTCCATGGTGCAGCATTGTGTACTTTGGGGAAGAAGAAATGGCTGTTGGATGCTGCTTGTTGGAGTGACTTTCCTAGTAAGCATAAGGTGTGTCAAGCTTTGTGTTGATGCGAAGAGCATTTCCACATCACATACCATGCAAATAAAGTGCTTAACCCAACAAGACCTTTTGATGACATTTTGAAAATGTCTGGCTGATTAGCCTAACAGAGCAAGAGTTGGGAGATTCAACACATCAATGGCAGCTTAAAATAAAACAGGGGGAAACACTGGACAGCCACGAGGTATAATATTGGATGGGGACATAGCCATGGCAAATGCCAACTGGCAGAGTCTAACCTCATATTCGTTACTTTTGAAGCTTACCAAAAGTACTAGATTTCCTTTAAGGAGTTCCAGTTACAGACAGACTCCATGGTTAAATCACATCAGCACAATATAGATGGCGTGCAGTTGTTGAGTTTGTAATATGTGTGGCATTTGGGATTTCCATTGATGGATCTATTCAAAGGCTCATTGGGTTTCAAATGGAAAGCTGCTTCAAATAGGATCCCCTCAATACTGGCACGTAATGTGAAACCTGACACATCTTTACTGGATGCCTGAATAATAGCAGGCATGTCTGTATTCCTGTAACTCATTATGGATCCTTTTGGAAAGATATAATTGTGTGACTGTGATAATGGATGTGCTATTGGGTGGATGCCCAGGAATGTACCAAGCACCTCATTAATAAGTGGTAATTGGCCACTAAAGCTTATACAATTTAGCTTATGCATGCATAAAGCAATGGGATTCTGGCTAATATCTTCATGTTAAGAGCTTAATTTCTCTGCAGCACTTCTAATTGCTGCTCTGACCAATGTTAAATTATTTGTTGTTTTTTTCTTCGTTTTTTTATTGTTAATTTCTGACATACAAAAGACCATAGAGCACTAAGAAAGAAAAAAGATACATAAAGGACAAAAAGAAAAAGAAAAAACCAACTATCTCTACGGAAAGAAAAAACTCGTAGACCCCTCTATTTGAGATCCCCCCACCCCCCTTTGGAGTCAAAGATTCCAGCCTCGTTAACCCCTCTATTCTCCCTATCAGTTTGCAATGTATACTAATTAGTTCATACACATATCATGAGTTTCACCCTAAACTCCTGTCTTCTTCTGGGCCCA